AAAAAAAAAAAAAAAAAAGACTGCTATAGATAGTGTAAGCATTTGCCTGGTGTATTGACTTGATAATAAATTTGACTGTCTGTAATGTTGTAGACTAATGGCCCATATAGTATGCCTTTTTAAAATCTTTGTCTGTTTTGTGTTTATTTGGTGTTACTGATTTATCTTACCCTGGCATAAAATGTTGTAAAGGATGGAAAGGACAGATGCAAGAATCACTAGAATTTATTTTGAAAAATAGTACCAAACATATAGAATCATAGAATCACAGAAAATTACAATGGGAAGGGACCTCAGGAAGTCATCTAGTCCAACGCCCTGCTTAAAGCAGGACCACCCCCAAGTATAGCATTCTACCCAAAGCTTTGTCTAGTCAGGTCTTAAAAACCTCCAAGGATGGAGATTGCACAGCCTCTCTGGATAACCTGTTCAGGTTTACTACCCTCCTAGTGAGAGATTTTCATAATATCTAACCTAAAATTCTCATGCTACAACTTGAATTATATCAACTTGAGACATAGCATTAGGGAAGAAGTTAGTTTAGCTTTAATCTAAAACAGTATTTAACTTACTGCACATATTTGAATGTTAGGGTATTTTTGGAATGCAGCTCATGGATGTATGAAAATACATATAATTGGATCAATAGATAACCCAGATAACATGGATGATATCAGACCTTTTCTTTTTATGAAATTGTTTTGAGGCTTTATGAAGCTTATGAATCAAAAATATTACCACGATCATATAAGACTGTCTGTAGAAGAAACTTAGAATATCAAGAAAAAATGTTAAGCAAGAAGCATTGTTACGTTTTTATTACCAACATTATTTTTTGGTATTCAGTTATGTAGTGTTGAAGCCAATAATTCAATAAGCAGTTACTGGGTTAAGTTCAACATAGTTACACCCAGAAAATACTTTTACATTTATGGCAGAGAGAATGTTTTTTTCAAATGAGTATAATGTAGATGGGAAGAAAATGTGTAAGGACTGCATCAAAAGTGCATATAACTCAGTAGTCAGTCATACAGCTGGTTTTATTTTTATCTTCAAAACATGGTTCTTGAATAGAACTAATATGACTGAAGATCTCTTAAAATGGCAGGGGGTCAGACTTGATGATCTGCTCAGGTCCCTTCTGGCCTTACCAACTGTGAAAATTGTGGTAGTAAGTCAATCAATTAAAAAGAAAAAAATATATTTTTTTTTCTAAACAGACTTATTCTAAACCGTATGAGGAAGTTAATCATGCTCAGTGCATTAGTTGTATGAAAGTTTTTCTCAGGTTTAATTTTCATATGCAAATATGCAGAAGGGAAGAAATATCTAACTCTTTGGGTTGCCAAATCATTGTTTTGCAACTTGGTGTCACAAGAGGATCTTTATTTGAAAAACTTGATTGTTTATTAATTTTTATACAGTGATTTTTTCAGAATTGTAAACCACATACAGACATTCATTTTTCTAGTGGGAGGGTTGCTACTCTCCCAGTAGGAACCATGAGTGTATAGTTGTTCAGGTTTTTTCTCCCAGAGCAAAAATGGCTGCTCAAGAAGAAAAATAACCCAGGAAAAACCAGAGTGAAATAGCTCCCAGGAAAGTTTCTCCTGGGAAGTCAAATATGTGTACACTTTCTCTTCTGAGATAAGCTGTGGTACAGTCCTCCCAGCATCCTATAGCGCTTTACTTCCCTCCCCCCACTTTGCCCCAGGATACTATGTAGATTGGGCTGAATTTTAGTGCTCCAGCTGAGCAGAGAGCAGAACACACCCCTTCATAATTTCCACATTGTCTTGGAGGGAGACATAGGTTAAGCCTAAACAGTCTGAGTCAGCCAATCATTGTGCACTGCTACCACCTATCTCCAGGCAGACTGAGGGAGCCTGCAAACCATGCTGAGATGTGTGCACAGCATTGGCACTGGAAGGTCTTTACTAGTAAGGGGCTCAGCATCATATGAATGTCCATTCACATGTCTCCAGGTAAGTTTTCCTACCAGGATAATAAACGCAAGAGAATTCTCCAAGATTATTTGAATGTATTTACACAACCATAATCTAGATTCCATAGACCTATACATCTAGTCTCTTTATTCAGCTGTTTAATCTTTTTATATAATTTCAGGATCTGACTGTTTTGCCAAGTTCACTCCATGAAAGCTTTGTAATACAATACATTAAAAACCATTTCTGCTTTATTTTCAGCTTGTAATTGGTACTTACTTTACCCAACCATATGTTATGTTGTGGGTCAAGGAATCCACATGGAACCCATGTGAAAATGACTTTGTAGATATTTAAGTCAAAGCTTATGATTGCATTAGGTCTAAAGATAAAGGGAAGTAGTATATTGAACTTGGTTGATGTAGAAACATTTTATGTATCTTTGCCTGAGAGAAACTGAGAAAATGCTTCTGAGCTAACCTGTGTTCTTTGAAATCCTGTATACAGCCAGCTAGTTTAGTATAGAAAATATGTTTCCAAAATACCAAGCACTGATTGACACACAAATTGTGCGAGGGGAGATTTTAAGCTTTTTTTTTTTCCCCTAATAGTACATCCAACTTACTGTATTCCCATTTGTTTACTTGTTGTGGCTCACACTTTTAATTTGGATAGGATTTAGGTATATGATCAGCATTAGGATTTCTGGGATCTAACAAAATTATAAGAACACTAGCAAATAGCCCACCAAAAATGATGGGGGAGGGCAGATGGGCACAGAGGCTTGCGTCTGGCCTGCTTCCTGCCTTGGGCCCGGGCTGCAGCCACTCCCCATCTACCCCCAGCTGGTTCAGGCTGGGGCTGTTCCCCCCCATCCCTCCGCCACTTCAGGTGGGGGTTGGGGCCTGGGACTGTGGTGGCAGTCACAGCTGCAGGGGCAGTCACGGTGGGGTGCAGCCACCGGTCACCCCCCCCTCCTTTTCCTACTCCCCTCCTTCCCTCCTTTCCTCTCCTCTTCCTCTCCTCTTCCTCACTACCTCCCTCTCCCCACCAGGTGTTGGTGTGGGGCAGTGTCGCAGAGCACTCAGGTGCCCTGCACCTGAGAGCAGAAATGGCTCGGGAGAGACCCCTAGTGGCAAGAAGGGGGAGGCCCAGCTGCCAGTTACCAGGGCAGCCAGAGTCACATTTGCTGGTTGCTATGGCAACCGCTGGGGAGCCAGCTGACAGGAAGGGGCCGGGCCTGGCCCATATAAGCCCCAGGCGTGAGGCCAGGAGGGCAGTTCCCCTCTGGCGGCCAAGGCAGGAGGAGCTTGGCCAGTGCAGACAGAGGGGAGAACCCTGACTGCATGAGCAGCCCCTGATTGCTGCTATGGGTTGGAGTATTTCCCGGTAGGGATTGAATGTTGTTTGGCTGGACGGTTTAGCTTTTTATGTTATAGCCCAGGGGCTTCATGTTTTTGTGTTCGCTGTTTTGACCGGAGGGCCGGGTGAGGCTATTAGGGGTTGGAGGAGGCCTCATAGGGGCTCCACGGTAGCATGGGGAGCCTGGCACCAGAGAGGGCCATGAGGACCGAGAAGCCCCAGAGCAAGGGGGCAATGAGAAGCCCAGAGCAAGGTGGCAGCGAGAAACCCCAGAGAGAGGGCTGCGAGGAGTGAGAAGCGCCAGAGCGCAGGGGGGGCAGTGAGAAGCGTCAGAGCACGGGGGGGGGCAGTGAGAGGTGCCAGAGCGTGGGGGGGGCAGTGAGAGGCGCCAGAGCAGGGGCGGGGCAGTGAGGAGCCCCGGAGAGAAGTCAAGGAGAGGGCCAAATCACAACAGGGCCCAGGTCAAAACCTTGTCAGTATCATCTGCAAGGCTTGGGATGTGGTGTAGGGGAGGAAAAGGGGCTGCAGATAGTGCCCCCTAGCACCGGGGTGCGTAAAGTGGGCAGCCTCCTGCTAATTGCATCAATTAATCAATTAAGATCAAGGCATGGCAGGAGAGTAAGCAGGCGGTTGGCCCATAACAGGAGGGTGGAGTCACCAATAGAAAGGCTCCAGTAGCGATACTCCTGTCACAGGCAGTTTCTGGCCCCTGGCTCCAAGGAGCGGTGGTGAGGGGGAGAAATGAGGCCAATACTGCTGGCCTTGCCCCCCCCGGCACCTCAGTCCCCACTGTCATGGCAGCACTCTACCATGTGTCTCTGTCCAGAGCACTCTGATTGACGGCAAAGGGAACCAATCAGAGTGCAAATAAAGCATTAGGGACAGGCAGACTAAGGCTTTTATAAAATTTGAATACTGAAAGGGAGAGATACTACTGTGTTCCCCCACACTCTCAAAACAAATTAATTTCTTTTTTCTCTACTCCCATATGGTCAGATGAGCAATGAACTGTGGCTTTTCTGTCTTGAACTAGGTTCTAAGTGGCCAGGTGGAAACCAGTTCTCAACAGTAATAGGACACTGCAAATGATACTTCGTATGTTAGAAAGTCCAGCAGTGATGGCTTTTCTCAGAGCAGAAAGTAGCACACAAATCTTCACTTTACAAGGGGCACGTTACTAGGCTGTACATTTATACAGCAGTAGACGCACATTACATTCTGCATTTTCCTGAAATTATTGTTACATATAGTATGGGAGGAATATCTTTAGCCATGGATTTTGATACTCTGAAAGATTACTCCAAAAGTGTTGATAGTTATAGACAGTGTGGATGAGGGACTGGAAAAATGTGAAATGAAGTACAGGGCTTAAGATGATGAAAAATAAGTGCAAATTTGTTTTGTTGTGTTCTTAAGTTTTATCATATTATTTTGGTTTCAGTTCTTGGCATTTAAATGCAATGGAAAGATGGCTAAAATCTTGCTTTCCAGTTTTAATACATAATTCTTACTTAAAACTGGAGCATTTTGTTACAACTAGTACCAGTGATATAAGATCTAGAAATTTGATACATTTTCCTTTCAAATATTTATTTAAATAAAACTGTTAAATACAGTTTGATTCTCTGCATATTTATTTAGAGTAGTTGGCTTGTTACTCAGGTTTTTTTCCTTCAAAATTAGAATAAGTGCATTTTAAAGGGGGAAAAAATCTGCTGAGGTAATACCATATAGTAAAATCAAATGTAGTATCCAAAGCCAATATTTTATGTTATGCTTTTTTTTTTTTTTTTTT